CAGAGGAGCGACAAGCCGCGGACCTGAAGCACACGCTCTGACTCGTTCCTCCGGACGTTTTTTTGTACCCTCGAGAGGCCTACCCGGAGCATCGATGCTGGTCGTCTGCGAATTATACCTCTGAGCCTCCGCTGACAAACGATGTTAGACGTCGGCAGAGTCGACAACGACGCTGGACGCTGATCGTAAGCCCATGAATAGATAGTGAACAAAGCTGGTCGATAGCGGGACTTCCCGAAACGGAAAACGGAGCGCGAGACAGAGAGTTTATTGATAGGAAGAGACTCAGCGATAGCGACGATCAGGATTAGGAGGACGGGGGGGGGAGTCCTCATCATATCGTCTGGGAATCCCAGTCTCCCGCACGCACGTTCCGGTTTCTCGGGAACCGCTTCCTTCCTCCTGATATCCCATGGGCATAAGCACTCAATGCTCGCTCAGGCTGCGAACGACGGAGTCGCCCCTATACATTATGTGTCGGACACGCCACTCGACGTTGCGTCGCGACCTTTTCTTCCCCCAACGGTATGGCTGTAGCATCGCTGTGCAAACCCTTCACGGTATTTTTCAGGGCGGGCCTAGGGTTTCTGAGATCTCCTCGCCCTTGAGTCGGCATCTTTGAAATCCTTTGAGTTTGTCCCTCGGGCGAAGTAACCCGTCCATCGGAGGCTAACTTTCTACCACAGCTGAACTTTTGATCGATCTCACGTCACGACATATCTTACTAAGGTCTCGCTATTGAATCAGCTAAAGTTCTTTGATAAGCTCCGGTGAGGAGCTTGAACCGGCCGATCTGGTGAATGGTTTTCCAAGATTTCCCTCCAGGAGAGGTAGAATTCCTCTTCGGGATCATTTTTTATTTTATCCGGATGCTGCTTTCGATGCCTGTGGCATCGACGATTACTCCATGATCTCGAGTCCAGGAAACTTCCCGCGTCAGCTAGACGAGAGGGATCGACGCAGTAATTGATTGTGAACAGTGCGTCGTTTTGTCGAAGACTTCGCGGGGCTCGAAGAGAGACTTCGTGTTACGTGTAGCGACTCAACGTATACTGAGGTGTGACACGTTGTCGAGTGAGCGACTACAGAATGAATAGTTTTTTGACTTCGTCGTTCCAAGTATATAGGGATCGGAAAGTCTGCGACGGCCGCCACATTACGCTCCATCACGAACGATCGGAGCTTCGGTGAGCGCAAATCGCGGGTGAAAAAAACTCTTCCTCGTGCAGAAGGAAGTCCAGGCTCCAAGTGGAAACAGCGGGGGAGGAAACCGACTGCTGAAGGAGTTCCGGCGCCTCAAGCATGTCACAGCTCGATCCGATAGGGTTACACTAAAACATTGAGAAAACTATCCGATGAATATTCCGCGGTTCGATGTGCCGGCAACGGGATCTACCAGGCTGACGATATTCTCATGATTTTGAGTCTCTTCAGCATCTCGAACAGTATTTTCAGACTGGCATCCGCATTCACAGGGATCTGCTCGCCCACCTCGAGACAACAACTGAATAAGGAGTTCAAGGTCTCATTGATGTGTAGCTGTCTGGATTCGAGCTCCAGAGCTTGTTCGGGCGTCGCCACGATGTCGTTCGAGAGATTCCGTAGGAAGTCCGCGCTGCATTTCTTCGTCTTCTCAGAGTTTTCGGTATCGAGTCCCCACGATAGAGAAGCTCTGGACATACCTCTCTCGAGACTGAAGAAATCCTTTCCATTAATGAGGATCTCAAATCAGTCGAGCACGAAGTCTCGATCTAGGATCTCATTCTCACGGGAAAGGAGCGCGCATGAAGCCGTGAAGTCGAGCCACCCGCTGGAGTCTGAGGCCTCTCAGGGCCTTCAGGCCGTCGCTAAGGACCTGTGGACTTACTCTGTGTAGCAAATTCGGTTGGCAAGACACATGAGTCTCACGACGTTCCTCACCAAGGAGTCCTGCAACGTACCGTAGGACGAACTCATTCGAGCGATTCTCGCGCCGCAGTGTATGAAAATCCTCCGCGCTGCGACCATCATATTCCTTTTCTCTGCTGCTGAAAACCGTAGCTTCTCGCTGTAGCTGCACACTGAGAATTCTTTCGAACGAACGACATTCATCGTGAGCAGGGCCAGGAGAGCAGCTCCAGGGAGTAAGAAACCCATTGACGAAGACATCCTCGGCAACAGCGTTCAGATAGCATTGATTGAACCTGCGGGGACATGTAGGTATCCGCACCTGACCGGAGGCAAATATACGCCACTGAGCATCTATCAATCATCTTCGAGTCAGCTCTGCTTGACCTCCTCAGCGGCAGGTCAGCTGATGATTTTCGGGAAAGGCTGCTTGGGGATAGTACCAATAGTCGCTCGAAATCATCCTGCGTTAAGTATGATTCCTTTTACCTGGTGACTGATTCTCAGTTTGAGCACCCGCAGCGAAGTTCTTTGGACCCGGAGCGCCCGAAAAATATGTTCGAAGGGAGAGTGGGTCCCGAGCGAGATCCGCCCACCTCTACGTCTACTATCGGCCTCGGAAGTCGAGACCTTGGACCCGACAGCGGAACTTCCTACCGTCTGCCGCCTTCGTCCGTGCTCTCCCCGGTCCACCCCAGTCGGGCTGAGGATCTCGGGCTCAAAGACGGCATCTACGCCGGAACCAACGGTAGGTGAAGATAATTATCTCGTAAAAGATCATCTCCGTGTTCACCTTCAGGGTACAGCTCTGCACACATCCCCATGTGCGGATGTGCCGGGAATACCTAAGAGCTTCTTATTCTTATGTTCTTCGATTGCGTATCCGGTGGGCATCACTTCGAGCCCAAGCTCTCCTCATCGGAAGTGACCCTTGACTTGTCAGTCAGGAACGGAAGCCTACGCTAAAGCTGCGTCTCGAGTTTACATAATAAGCTCTATTCCCCTGATATTCCACATTGCATTTGACTGCGCATTGCTTCAGGTGAGTCTCTGGGTTGGACTCGCTGACGCTACGGTGTGAACAGTGTAGACAGATTCAGAGAGAGTGCTTCGTGGCTCCCTTCAACATGGAGCAATACTGCTCCGTGCTGGTAGCCGAATAATCTAGATTTTCGACTGGGTGATATGTGCGGTGATAATCATCTCTCGAATCACCGCGAGTCCGAGAAAGCCCGAAAGATGAAGGTCTCGCCGGTCGCAGTGAATCTTCCCCCTTGTGACCGCAGAAACTTCGGATTTCTCCGAAAGATCTCCATACAGGGTTCGGTGGCGGGTGGAGCTCCTATCCTAGGAGGGAGCGTGGATAAATTTAACTGCACTAGTTCGCGCAGACACGCGGGGCTCTTCCGATACCTGATACCCGTCAAATCATTGGGACTATCTAAAGGAGATTCATAGCCGTGTGATTCCTTGATTGGGATCGGAGCGAGTGTTCAGAAGGTTGCGCTGAGTGCCCCGTGATCTCCCAGACACAGACCACTCGGTAGCGCTGCTTGGGCGCTCGCTATAACGTGGGATTTTTGGACTGATATCTGGATAATTGACCCTCATGGTGAGGTCATTCCATGTAATCGGTTCAGAAGGTGTGGTCATCCGAATCATTTATTCGACTCATACTTTGCGCGGCTTCATTTTGACAACAAAGTCGAACCTGGCCCCTCGTCTGAATGTCGCCAACTCAACATCTCATGTATCGATCATTAATTCTCATGTCTGTAATCGACTCTAAGTGCGTCGAATCTCGAACCCGAACGACATGAGAATTAATGATCTATACATGAGATGTTGGATTACAGCCCATCAGCCCGAACACCCATTAGCCCGAACGCTGAGTCGGACCTCCCTCTCTCAAACGAGCCGGCTGAACTGGGGTTCTCGAGTGTGTATTCCGACAAGCGGATTTCTTAGGCCTTGGACGGATATTTCAGATTTCCCCTTAATGAGGGAGGAGCCCTCAGCTCTCTAGCTGGGGACATGAATTGAGACTTCGCAGAGAGAGTTTTGTCCGACAAATCGGTTCCGAGCGAGCCGCGAGACGCAAGTGAGTTCTCCGAATTTTCGCTCGGTTCCGCGAGATTCCGAAAGTTCGCTTAACTCGCTCATCTTAATCTCATCCTCTTCACTTTCTTCATAGTTTCGAACAGTACTTTCAGAATAACATTCGGACTCGTCGGGACCGATTCAGTTGCATCGAGAGAACAAACAAACAAAGCTCGCGAGGTCTCGTTGATTCGCAACTTTTTGGCTTCTAGCTCCAAGGCTTCCTTTGGCGAAACCACGAAATCATTCGAGAGATTTCGAAAGAAATCCTGTACGCATATCTTGAGTTTCTCTGTATGTTCAGCATCGAGCGTTGATCCTCCCGAGGGTTTAGGAATTGAACTCTCGAAACTGAAAAGTGAAGTCAGTGCCAGTGCTCATTCATCCCATCTTCGACTCCACTGGGATCTGCAGCAGAAAATTGATCTCGGAATGCGTTCGTCGGGCCGAACATAACTCGATTAGTGAACTTACTCAGCGTAACAAATTTTGACGATAGAGCACACGAGTCTGATGACTTGCTTCGTCACCGAGTCCCGCATCGAGCCGTACGGCGAAGTTAGTCGCACGATTTCCGCACCACATCGGATGAAAATGTCGCGAGCCGTAGCCATGAAGCGTTTCTTGTCCGTCATTGTATAACTTTGCTGGTCGTTGTGACTGCACGGCGAGAATTTCGTTGCATGAACCCCATCGATCGGGTTGAGAAAAAAGATGATGGTTCCAACAATTATCAGACCGAACCCGGTGGACATTCTCAGCACAGACCTCAAGGAGTTCCGCCGCGTCTCGGGACATTCCTAGAAGTCTGCACCTGGACAAAGAGTAAATAGTGCAGTGGAGTATCCATCGGTCATATTTGTGTTTACCGTGGCAGCTAGGCTATCGATCGATGATCTTCGACTTTCGGGGCTTGCTGCTTCAGAAGGCTTCCGGCAAGGAGAGCAGCATCCTACTCATTGTCAGGGGGTCTTTGGTCCTCCCTATTCCGCTCAAAGAACATGCATAGAGCGAGCGCGTCATCATCATCTTTATTTCTATTGTAGACACGTTAATCATCGCTCTGAAGCAGAATGCTCATGTAATCCTGGCTGAGAGCATGCGGCTGTCTGGAGCCCTTCGCGTCGGAGGGAGATTGATCCTCAGAAGTAATAAAATCCAAGTCTTCGGCAGAGACCCTGATCAACTCGACATGCCGCTGCGGCTTTCTTGCTTCGGCAGAAAACCCTCGGGCCATCTCGATCGCATTTCCCAGAAATCATTGGGAACGTCGTATCTGAGGGAGAGAAAACTGTTATAAGAGCGGGAATACAAGGAAGAGATATTGGAAGGTGGAGATGGCGGTATATTTACCGTTTTTGACAAGGTCACCGTATCCGAGGTCTCTGCATGACCATCGGGTGTAATAGCACATTTCCCTCAATTTCGGACTTGAGCATGCCGTCTTCTCGTTGTAGCACTCCAGATAAGGGAATCGCCTGGCGCCCAAACCGTCTTCGGGAAAGCTACCTGTGCGGAATACATACATATTCCAATTATCCCGGTGTTCGCTCGGAACTCTGGCCGATCGAACATATACCATCAGAGTTCTATCTTTTCGTGCTCGGCGGATTACGCCTGCCCGCTCAAGCGCAAAGCAGATGTCATCAACTATGAGCTGGAACGAAAACGAAAAATCTCCGGCTAGGCGCGAATCGCAGCGCAGCAACGTCAAGCTGCCGCTGCGGGCATGCACTCACATATTGCGACGACCGCCCAAACAAGATAAAGCCTCGATGTCATCTTTCGCTTTCCGACGCAGACAACTGATCCTGTGTCCGAACACAAACTCCATATCAACGCTCACATCTGGGAGATTGGGTAAGAGAACAGCTCAAGAGCAACGCACGCCCAAAAGGTGTATGTAGTATGAAGTACCCATGTGTCACAATTCAGGAAGGAGGCTAAATCATCTCTGACGTGTCTCTCCTGCAGTCCTCTCCAGCTTGTTGAGGCCGAAACCTGATTCAAATCATCCACGAGTAGGTTGATGCTCCGATAACCCAATGTGTAGTCTTGATCGACGGAATTTCAGCTGCTTATGGGAGGTTCATAGGATCATCCCGGAGGGGAAATTTATTTAGGCTCATTCAACCACCGTGGTCGATGCAAGGAGGGTTTGAGCTCAGTCATTCGGCTCTCCGCACATCTGTGGAATCTGACACATTACGGATTGCCTCGATGTGTCCGAAATATTATCCTCGGCCGAACTTCGAATCGTGTCACTCAGCGAGCCACTCCGCACCTTTATTCTCTCGATTCAGATGGGCTTCGAGAGTTTCCGCTTAATAGATTAGAGTGCGTGTTCCGCCCATTTGGAGAAATTATTCCAACATTCCGTGACGATGCTGCTCCGAGACCAGATTCTAATCACGAGCCCGAAGATGCCGAGGCAGTTTATCGGGTCAGCAAAGAGACTATTCATGAGGAAAATAAAGAACGAATCGAGACCGCACGGAGGCGACTCCCGAGACATTTCTCCTCGTAGAAGCAATCAGTCGAGGATGTCGAGGGTCTCTTCGTAGACTCTAGATTGCTGAGCCGGGTCCTTCAGCAAGCGAACTTTCGCGAAGAATGAAGTTCGAGCTATCTCACCGCGTCACTTGGGTAACTGACTGATTGGCCGGCAAGGGCCGCGGGACGTTTCCTTCCACCCGCGGATGTTCTGGGGACCACAGCTCCATACGGAAAGTCGTAGAAGATTTGGTGCCGGATACCAGGCAATTTGGGCGGTATGGATCGTATGATTCGACATTCCATTCGATAAGGAGTAAAATGCACTTTCATTTCACGCGGGTGTGCTGAATAAGTGGCTGTCGGTGACTCCTCCCGCTGGATTGGATAGATTATCGTCATCGCCCCAAAAGTTATTTAGGATACAACATATTCTCCTTATATAATAGGAACTCTCCGGATCCCCTCTCCCGACCCATAATGGAAGGACTCCCCTTGGATTCGAAGGGTCTCAATCGAGATAGGCTGAATGATCTAGCGGCTTCCCGATTCTTGGTACTCCATCAGCTTATTCTTCTTCGCGAGCTCAGATACCCCACCGCAGTGCATCGCGAACATCTTGTGATCGATCAGAGAGAACCAATGTGTCCCACATCCTGAACTCCCAAACCATCGATTCCTTCGCCACATGATTTCAAGGTGAAACTGAATCTGTGGAGGGTTCGAGAACAGGGGGGCACTTTCCGATGGAAGGAGAATTCGATGGTTGCAAGAGAGGGGGGCCTGCTCGCATATTTGAGGAAATTTGGTACTTCAAGCCTTAGTTCCTTGCGGGTGGATCTCCTAAGGAGTCGTGATTTCATCAGGATAGCGGTCACTGTCCTAAAGTCGACTCCTGGGGCCCCTCAATGATGGCATGAGCCATGCAGGCTTTCCACTGTATGCTTCTACGTTGATTTACCGGCAGGGGAAGAAGTGGGCGATTCGCGTGAATGCGACACCAGGATCTGCATACGCTCTAACTTCGCTCTTCTCGAGACGAATTAGGACGGCGGGAGGAGCGTCAATTCGGGATACGCTGACTGCGCTTATTCCGCCCTCAATAGAGGAATCCATTTAATGAAGCGGCTGACCTTTCGACTTCTGTCGAGCTTGATGTCCGACGAAAGGGTCAAACAGTCAAGAAAAATTCGAAGGACCCCCAGGGTGAGCCCAGTGACCAACATTTGAATACTACGACCAGAAAGATGGGGCTTCAAGACACGAGCGCCGCTCCTTCATTTCCCGCGATCATCTCACGAGGCGCGGCTCATTGCGTGAGAGCGTAACGAGAATAGCGAATTTTCAGGGAGCACTTCTGTTGCTATAATGGCACTTTTCTCTGCGGGTGAAGGAAGCAAAGAATCGGAAAATGTGGGCGTGGAAGAATCGACTGCCTCCGCGTCGGTCCGTCCGTTGCGCAACCTCACACTTCCGTTTTCTGTGAACATGATGCTGGAGATTGAACTGTATATGTTCACTCTACGGGTGGGGGAAAGGCTGTATGATCTCTGACGGAGATGATAGCGAGTCGATAGTCGATACACCATAGCTTCTAATGCTTTGATTCGTGGTAGACATTCATTGGAAAACACTCCCCGACAGCATTCCCCCGCCTCTCTCATGATGTTTCCGCGTCCGTAGCCATCCGGACATCGTACAATTCGGTCCCTTCCGAATAAAAACACAAAAAGGATCCAGTTTTCCATGGGTGCATGCTGTTTTGAGAACATCAACATTTTCGCTATTTCGACACTAATACATGGAAGTATCAGACAAAGGGCTGCATGAATATCGCGGAGAAAACATCTTGCCGACTTCCCCGTTGCGGATATACCTCGCGATTCCGCAGCCCCCCCATCGACTCTTTCCGGCTCATTCCGAGTCGTTTTTTCATGCTTGTTTTCATGGCAGCCATGTCGACGCTGTTGATCGATATGTCACCTCCCTGTGTTTTGAGATTTGACCGACATTTGTTGTTGGATGAGCAATAATTAACCGAGGTCCCGAGGCTACGAATTCGGCGAAGCTACCGGAACGCCAAGAGCCAGCCACCGAGCGAGCGAACTACTAGATGGAAAGGTGGCAGGAGAAAGTGAATTGACTGACCCACAGAAACTGAAATTCGGGCGAACATCGCCAACTAAACGGGTCGGCCGACGACGATGGTAGACGAGCTGCGTCGATCAGAATCTCCGATCTTAAAAAGGACAACACTTCCTCAAACGTATCAACTGCAGCAGATCCAGTCAGTCGGCACACATGGGTCGATGAAGACAAACTCCGCTTCTGCAAGCCGGAGACTCGATCTAAGAAGAACACCTGATAATTATGTGACGATCACCGCGCGAACATTTTCGCGACGATTAAGCCGCGATCCACGGGCGTTGAGATATTTAGTTCAAAGGATCACTTTTTAACCTGCAGTTTCTTCTCGAACCTGTCGTATACGGCCCTCCTTACGATATCGTCCCCCATTCTCGGCTAGCCCGTGGATCATGAATGAAGGTCATCGCACAAGCTTTTTTTAGCCAATCAAGCCGCTCGAGGGGAGGAGAACCTGGCGTGAGCGGTCTCACTGTGAGCTTCTTCTAGCATGTCTCGTCAATGGGGGACTCCACGCAATTATCCGCTCGATTCTCGAATCGATCACGCTGCATCGCATTCGATTCACGGTGAGAATATCCTAGTGAAATGATCACGATTATCTTCCGGTAGCAAGCTGCAAATTCTAGGCGCCTTCATTTCGGCATGCAATTGGACCTATTGGATCGATTTCATTCGCAGAAGCGTATGATGCGTCGTCATGCGAAGCTTGGAACGACAACTTTCCCAGAGAGATTAAACCGAGACGGATTTGCATTCTCTCATCCTGATGTCGCGCCCCGGATATCGGTTTGCAGAGATGGTCAGTGTACTATCGATTGAGGCTTATCTATATTGAATAATTTTATCGAACGATTTAGAATTCTTTCCTGACTTGATCCAAGATGGACGAACATCCGGAGAGGGCTTCGCACACCGTCGACGATATCCTCGAATGATAACGTCTGCTATGAAGCGGTAGTTGACTCGGTCGCTTAACTGTCGAAGATGAAGATTATCTAGGAACACAGACTTTCAGTCTTTGGAGCTCCGTAAATCAAAGAAAACGCTCCTGTTCCCCGTTCACGGACATGGGACCCCGGGATTGAGGCCGAACCATTCTCCGATTGGCGGTAGCTATCGACGATGCTGAGAGAACACCGAATTGGTACATTCAGGAGTCATGGAAGATATATTAGAGTGTGAGAATCCCCTGAGTTCAAAACTCTCATTCATCATCGGGAGTTCACGACGCCTTTTCTCTGGAGTTTCCCGAGCCTTCCCCATCTATCCCGAGCCTAGCCATCCTGAGAATTCCATGTTTTCCTAATAATGGGATCCAGGATCACGGAAATTGACCCTGCGATGTACCGCCGACAACCGCTCATGGGGTCCGGAATGTGTGACGGAGAATTCCACTATTTCGGAATACTTTCCAAATCAAAAGCGGATGTGCCCAGCAATGGAAAAAGCTTTCGATCGAGACATTCAGTCGAGAAGAATTTCTCATCACGCGGTATCTTCATTTTCTTCCCTGTACTCGTTAACCGCTTCGTCGTGAGCTCGCAGTGGTTTTTTCTTCTTAGTCGAGGAACAATGCTGCGTCGATGACGAACAAAATGTTTCCACCACAATGAATGAACACTCGATGAATAGTCGGGCTCATCGTCAGCTGGATTCGACCAGACAGCGAATCAATTGATTGACTGCCCGACCGTCGACGCTTACGCGATCGACGAATCGAACGATAGGCTGGCGCTCTGGCATCTGAGACATAAAATATTGCCCCATCAAAGCGACGGACGCTTCTGTATGTTTTTCTCTGTCTAATTTGGGTCAGCCGTAGATCGTGGGCTCAATCGTGCCATCGACTGCCTCTGGACTAATTATGGAATGACCATTGATATCCCCATATGACATCGCAGCTTCACGAACTCCCTCGATTCATGGTCGACAAAATAAATCTCGAGTAGTGATACTTTTCACGTGGACGACACAGAAACGACGCTATGGGCGCAGATCAATGAATCGAGCTCACGGCGGACGCATGATTCCATGTCCGTCCATAAATCGCATTTGCTCGATTTCTCTCGTATTGGCTCGCTCGACAGGCCTCGGAAGTGCCCACACTGACTCGGACAAATGATGAGCGGCGATAAATTTTTCCGTTCAACACGCACCTTCCCGAATTGATGG